AATTGCCAGTTGATCAAAATGGTGTTTCCTGCTCTCCTAGGAGAAGGTAGCCTCAAGAACAAAAGTCCTTCAGCTTTACAAACAGAGTATACAAGTTATTATTAACAATATATAGATGGAATGTTTTTTTTATTAATGTGTCATAATCTTTAATGTCTTATATCTTTAATGTCATTATTTTACATAATAAACTTGATTAAATTAAAGCTATAGATTTTGATTGTCTTTCACTGTCAGTTGGATGTCTCTGAAATGGATTTCGCTTAAAGAACATTATTCATGGCCTCTTCTTGGACACTTTGAAAGATAAATCTTTGGTTAACAGTATTCTGAATTTCACTCAATTGTATACATTGTTTTTTGATTTACATAAAGAGCCCTAGCCCTTTGTATATTATGCATTTCATCCATCAGGACCAAAACCTCTCGCCACCTGGACAGCTTCTTCCCCTCCGCTACCAGCCTCACCAACAAGGCCCGGGACCCCCACTCATGGGCGTCACTTTGTTAGTAAAAGTGGTGGGGACAATTGCTCCAGATTTGAAATCAGCGTTGCAGAAGACAAAAGATGTCCCTCCCCCTGGGCGTTGAGCTTCGAGCACCTGCATGGAAAACCAATGCATAGACCTCTAGATCACCAATGTGCGTTTAGAACAATGAACGCCCGACTATAGGTCTTACTGGTATGTGATTTTGAGTGAATTTGTACTTGTATGCACACAACTAGCAGCCAGGTATAGAGGACAGGACATGACATAAGTAACACATAAATACAGGGATACAAAAATACAAGAATGAATCCATTTGAAAAAAAACTGAAATAAATGAATGTCACACTTTTATTTTGTAAAATAGCAAGAGGAGGGCATATTGTGATGGACAGGCCTGTCATAAAATGAGGTTTATATTAATCCCACCCTGAAGCATTTTTCAGGGTATGGTTCTAGGACTGGTACCAATAAATGGAGCAAGTTTCATGAATGTCACACTTTTATTTTGTACGCATAGCGTATATAATAATATGCTGACAAAGACTATGTAACATTTGTAAACATATATTTTGATTATTAGATGACAACTATGTAAAATTAAACAATACATTTTAAAGCACGTTTATACAGACAGGACGTAACAATAATGATAAAAAAAAAGATTAAAAAAAACAAAAACTGAAAAGGAAGTGACGAATGAATTTTGACACCTCAAATACGGAGCGAAAAGTTAAACCAGAAGAATCAAGACTATGAGCTACCACTAAACAACTCACAGTCTGAAAATTACCATTAATAAAAACCCTGAACGTTTACTTTTCGTTTTAAACATCGTTTTAAGGTGTAAACCTATGGTGTAAACGTGTCATATAGAGGTGCGCGTTCCCGTGACAATGGGGGCATTTCATGACGGGGAGGCATAATGTGACACAACACCGGAAACCCGAGTTTTCCCTGAAGTTAGCCGGCTAAGCTAAAATCCTGCTTCGTAGTATACCCCCCTGGTAGCCTTGTGTTTTCTGAACAGATGTAAAAAGATGTGAGCAAACTCTCGTTAAACGTTTGCATTTGTCGTGTAAAAAATGGAAAAAGGTAGAAAGCTATTTGACAATGTAATTACAATTATAACAAAAATAATAATAAAATACAAAATGTAAGAATAATAATAACAAAAATGAAATAATTTCAAAATAATTAAATACATTGCTTTTAAAATCATTCGTATATACAATTTGAACAAATTATTGAATTAAAATAACAATATTGTTTTGTAAATGGGGATGTGATCTAAGGATTTCAAATCAAGGTCTGCTCAAGCTGTTGTATAGCTCAGTGCAGGCACACCATAGAGGTTTCTCAATACTCTAATTTCCCCTCCTCGGTCCTCCGGTAGTGACCCGGAAATGTATTTCAGCAAGCCTAACAATTTAAGTCATGTTTAATGATCTTGACGGGCCCGGCGCCACGAGGGGGCAAAAGGGGGCATTGCCCCCTCAGTTGTATTATTTGCCCCCTCACTTTGAGCATCATTCATCCATCAAAAAGTACAATAAATGTCACAATTATTAAATAACTTTAAATAATTATTTTCCCCAATACACGTTACTACGTTTAGATCAGATATGTGGGCAGGCAGTCAAGCAACGTGTAAACAAGCCTCAACCCCAAGTGAGCTTGTAGTGGCCCGTCTACACTACAGGCGTCAAAAAATGCTTTCAACGCTTCGCCCATTCATTTGAATGGGGTGACGTAGGATATTTTCAAACTTCACCGAACTGCATTGTGGGCAGCATGGCAAGGCGTTGCAAGCATCGCGAGCGTCTATCGGCGTCAAAAGTTGAACAATGTTCAACTTTTGAGGCTCGATGCTTGCTCGAAGCTGGCGTCAGCCAATCAAATCCCGTTTTTGCAATTCCCGCCAGTACAAGCGCTAGCCAATCAAACCGCGTGCAAGCTGGGAGAGCCAGACCGCAGTTCATTTCCTCATATTCCAAACGAGAAATTACGGTAGCAAATCACCCGGTTCTTTCCGACCAGAACTATTTACCGGGATACAAACCGGAGGAACCAGGCATGGAGGGAGGTGGCAGAGACAGTGGGTGAAACTGGTAGGTTTTCGCCTGTTTGGGGATTTTATATCCAGTTTACTTCGTTTTAACATTGCTATTTCTTTGTATGTCGGGGGCGGGAGATTCATGTGATTGGTTGTTGGTCGCGTTGCTCGCAAAAAATCGCCAAGCTTCAGACACGCCCAGCTTCAAGCTTTTTCGATGCCTGTAGTGTAGACGGGCCGTTAATGTTAGCGTGTGTGCTTAGCTGTAAACACAGTCGGATGGGTAACCAAAACGTCCCCGTTTTCCGGGCAGAGTCCCTGTTTTCGGTGGCTGGTACCCGGTTGAAACTCCCGAAAATGTTCCCGTTTTTGAAAGTGCGTTAAAAAAAATAGAGCAAGGTGAAATCAAATGTTACAGGTCAGTAAAAACAGAGTAACAGTGTTGTGCCTGTTTGTAGCGTTAGCGTATTTCTTCTTCTACTACTTCTTCTTCTATTTTCTTTAATGGCGAATCGCTTCCACTTGGAGCATATATCGCCACCTTCTGTTGATTTATTAAATGTTCATATTAAATCCTTGTCCTCAGACCAGTGTTTTTGAGGAACTTGAAGATCAGCTTGTTTACTTCATTTCTTGATTTACTTTCGTGTATTGACTTGAAATCCATGTCCTTGATGTTATGTTGTTCCAGTGCAGTTTTCAGAATGAGTTTTTGTCTGTTATAATCCGGGCAGCTAAAAAATACATGATGTAATTTTTCTCCCCAATTTTCGGCGCCCCCGATGGGTTGATGCGCCCTTAGCAGCCTATACTGCCTATGCCATGGGCCGACCCCGGTGAAAACAATATGACATCAACAAAAAATAAGACAGACAACTTCAGATAGCACCACACATGATGGTTACTTGTTATTATTTAGGGCTGCCTGTATGGATCAGGTTTTTGCCAAAGCGAGCCCTTTTACTAGAATAATAATATGTTATGTATTATATCAACCGTATTGGTACAATGAGCGACATCCAGCGACGGATTTTGGAACATTGATTTGATTTTTCTCATGGCAGTTAGACTCTAGAGACAAACCAGGGGACTATATTTGTATTTTTAATCTATGTCTGTCCATTTGGTGTAGTGTTTGATCCAATATTACATTTGGTTTATATATTAGTCACTTTCTTCGGAAATGCCAGGTTTTAGGCCTTGATTTGAACATTCAATCCTGAAAATAAAAAATCAACCAGATTAATGTTTCTTTAATCCTGACCTGACTAGAGGTAAGTGAATCTGTATAGGAAGACGAGTTAAGGGATAGAGAACAAAAGGTTATGGTATAATCACAGAGCCTGTCAATTTATAAATTAAGGAAATCAATGTTATTCTGTTAACCAAAGTGCAGGCATCTATCTATCAACTATCTACTATCTATTATTAAAGATCAGAGGAAAAGAACAGAATGAGAGCGGTAAATCCAGAATAAAAATATGTAATGTAGAACAGTGAGAAGGAAAAAAGCTTGGTGTGTCAAATCATTACATTGCCAGTATTTTTCGTTGTTTTGAAAAAAAATCGCCCCCTCGGATTTTTTAACAGCCCCCTCAGTCATTTCATCCTGGAGCCGGGCCTGGATCTTGAACGTCACTAAAACATAGCTATTAAGAAAGTTATTTCATAAATGGCGAGATCTCGATAAATAACAATTATTTGTATTGTTTTGTGTTAAGATATTCAGGAGTTACATTATTTAAAATGCACAGTTCTGAATGTGGGTTTGTGGTGAATGTGGGGATCTACAGGACACACATTTTCAGAGTAAAGGCTTTCACATTACTATAATTATATTTGTATTTAAATGTAGGCTACATTTTACACCAAAACGGAACACAAAAGCAGGACCAACCATCATACATTGATTGAATTCATTGACTAACAAGAGAAAGATTCATTCATTTAAATAAATATTTAACCACAAATGGGCCGGTTCTAAGGGGTTATTCAGTTAAGCAAGCCCGATGAGAGGGGATACAGCTGCACACATGTCATCATTAACAGACGTTGTTTAAAAGTGACGTTTGAGTGAACGAGGACATCCCAATTAATACCTGAGGACTCCTCTGTCCTCGCGTCACCTCCTCGTGTCTCTCGCTCGCATCTTACGGAGGCGGAACTAAGACGCAAGGAAGGGACGCGAGTGATGGAAAGGAGGAGTCGAGGAGGAGTATTGGGATGAGGCTCCGGTCAGAGATGCAGGAAGGGAGTGGAGCCTGATGGGGATACTGGGAACAGCAGGTGAGGGAATAAGAGCTACCAGGAAGGCCATTCTTAAGTATTTGATTGAAACAGGATTGATTGGAAGAATTTAAAACAACGTAAACACAGTGGTATAATTCCACAAGTGGTGATAGGATGATATGGTGATACACACTCTTGTACAGTAGGTGGCGGTATGCACCTTAAAGTTGTTTGCAATCCGCCAAAAAAGCGAGAGAAGAAGAAAAAGTAGGTAGAGTGGGACATTTTTCACTGAATGAAGACTTTCAGGTAGAAACATTTTCAAAGCCCTGATCAAATGTCATCTGTTTCATGCTATAGTCTATGGTTTCATTTAAATTTGACAGATCCTAAAGGGGTATATTTCAATTACATGTTGACACCTCGAGTATATTTACCGATTTTGAAGGATAACAGTTACTTGTGGGGCCGACTAAGATGACTCGCTGTCTGAAAAACTAAACTCAGGGTATACATACGCACTGCTTTCGGTTTGCCTCGCTTTCACAAAGAGATCGTTTACCACAGACCTCTGTTGTTGCTTTTACATGTTGTGGATATGGCGGCTAATATCCAAGCTGACATGGAAGCGTTTGTAAACCACTGGATAGTCGACTACTATTCAGTCCTTGCCATAGAGCTGTTTAAAACCAAGAAATACGAGGACTTCTGCGGGATTGTAGCTATACTTGACGGTAAGTAACACACTGCTCAACAGGGTTTAGCTTCTTACCCGCCAAACTATTAGCTAGCTTAATGTGTCCGACCAAGTTTGTAGTGAACTCGCTTTTTTATTTAGAGTATTTACAGTGTTTATTCAATAAACGTGTATTTGGGCAATACCTTTAAGCACAATACACTTTATTGTGCTTAAAGGTATTGCCCAAAGACACAAGTGTTAAGTGGTGACATTTGAATGTGCGTAACCTATAGATGGCATTATTATCTTGCAGTTAGCTCATCCATTCAGAAAGAGTCACAACCTTTATATATACAGTCTATGGTCACAACAAGTCCCTTAAATGAAGCTCTGAGAAGTGGCCAGCGAGTCATATGGTTTGTTATTGGGTTTGGAGAATAACAATAAAGGGAACTTTGGGAATGTGTAAGTCTACAGATATTATCTACACATATATTTATGCCCATCTTTTATTTTTAATTCTGTTTCATTTCTTATTTAGTATTTTACTTTTTATTATTTTAATTCCTATGTATATTCCATGTGTAATATCTGTGTTTATTTGTATTCTGTTGCTGCCTTGACACGTGAATCTTTCTACGTTGCTTATTAAAGGTCAATCTTATTTTATGTACTTGAACAAAAAAAGAAATATATGTAAATACATTCTGTATAGCTGCTTCATAATAAAGAAATACAACAGATAATTTAACTAAAAATAAACTGACTGGTGCACCAGTAAGCGAATCTCACGCAGGAAAATACTCAAAGTCCAGGCAGGCAGGAAAAATCGTTTTTGTGTATTTATTTAATCTAATTCCAATAATCCAACAAACAATGGTTTCACCAATCTTGTGTTTTCCCTGGTACAAAAAACCGTTGCCGTGGCCAATCCCACCACCACCTGTCTCCAGTACATAATCACCAGTCGCATACATCTCCCAGTAACCAAAACCACCTTCAAAATGTAAGCATAAATAATTACTTTAATCAAATAAAATGATACAATAAATAATTATTAATTTAATATAAACAAAAACAGCTACAAATAAATGTTGAATTTTCAGATAACATAAATCAATGTATAGCTCCAACACATTCATACCATTATCCCAGAGTTACCACATGTCCCCCCTCTATCCCCCAGGTGGCCTTTTAATTACATGCAATCGAGTTCGGAATATTTACTTTCTATTAGGGCTACTCAATTAATCGCAATTACAATTTTGGCTTGCAACGATTATGAAAACAACATCATCGAAATAAAACGATTATTTTTTTTTTTTTACATTATAATTATTTTTATATATTTTTTTTTATTGGTTTTTCAGTTGAATTATACTTAAAGTTCAGGGTAATCAACTGTTAAAAACATACTGTTCACATTTTTCTTTCAATAAATGGATGTTTTCAAAGTAAATGGATAATCGTTTTTAATAATCGTGATATCAATTATTGACCCAAATAATCGAGATTATGATTTTTGCCATAATCGAGCAGCCCTACTTTCTATCTGAATGTATATTATTTTAGAGGAATTAAATGTTTATCATCTTGTTACAGGTATCTTGACCCGTCCTGTTTACTCTTCCGATGTCACGCCAACAAAGATACGAGTATTGCACTTTCTCGCCCGGATAAATGAAGGGGAACATCTTGGTGAGTTCAACCTTGTTGCATTTCATCAACGTAACATTAACTTTGTCAACAAATGTGTGTTGCTTCATTTCATTTAGTAGTAACGAAGTATATCATCTAGGTACAACCCCGACAGCAATACATTGTTCTGCAATAGTTCAACTAAATGTTGTTTGGCATTGTCTCATATTTCAAGATGTTAAATGTTAAAGTATATCGTACTTATCAGCATCATATTCAAGGTTTTTACCTAAATCTGTAATACAATTAGCATATTGTGACCAAAACGCGATTCAAAGGTTTTATCGTCATGACATATACAAAGCTACGGTGTAATTATGTAATGTATGAAAAACTTAGATCGCAGGTTTCCCAACCATGCAATTTAAGACATAAAATAACAACAGTAAGCTCAGGTGTTCAATATTCTTATGGCCTGTGGGATGAAACTGTCGCTGAGTCCAGTGGTTTTTAGTCCTGATGCTGCGGTAACGCCTGCCAGGCAGCAGGAGACAGAACAGTTTGTGGCTGGGGTGATGGGGGTCTTTGATAATCCTGTGGGCTTTCTTCCTGAGCCGCTGGGAGTAAAGATCCTCCACGGATGGCAGCTCCGCCCTGGTGAACACGGCCGAGGGTGCCATCAGGTCCAGGAGCCTTGTGTGGATGAACCTTTTTAAAGGATCTTCACACATCTGCCCTGTCTAAAACAAAAGGGCAGGGCTCCTGGGCCGCCTGTACCTCCACAGCAGTGAATACATGTTTGTCTTTGTCTACAGATGTGGTATTCGAGCAGGACCCGTCAGTATCTCCTCTGGAATCGGCCTTAAAGGTGCTGGAAAGTATGGCGAAGGACTGCAGTACACCATTGCCAGAGAGGGATTTTGATCATGCAAGCGCTTCAGTTAAAGAGATGGTAAGTGGGTTTCTTTTGTTATGATAATACGACTTTCTTTAGGCGGTTTAGTCTGATTTGATTCAACCACCTGTTTGTTTTTGTTTCTTTATTAGATGGTGAGCTTGTTTATCAAAAACGATGAGTTTGACAAGGCAAAGGAGGTGCTCAACAAACACTTTCCTAAACCAAGGGTGGGCAAGGTTAGTAAATGAAATAGAATGGCATGTTTACTGAATAATATCATAATTATGTTGGAGTCAAATCAGCAGTATAGTCCTCTCTTTCTGTTGTAAATCCCCCTGCATGTTTTGGCCTTAAGTGGGATCAGATGTGGCCTGTTAGGTGGAGGCTAAGCCCCGCCTCCCACAAGACCAAAAAAGGCAGGGGGATTTACAACACTTTCAATGTCACAGGGTTTTCAAAGGATGCTCAAGTTGGATTTGTTTTGAAAGTTCCAAAGAGCAATTGACTTGATTACGTACATGATTACGTAGAGTTAACACCTCCATAGAGGGTAAATCATGTCTTCTGTTTAGTCTTTAGCTGTGTGTCTGTCAACACATTTACCTACCTTATCTGTTCTCGGAAAGTGTGGAGACTTGCAGGTATGGTGATGTGAGGCGCTACCAAAAGAATGGAAGATGAATCAACAGTCTTTTCTCCTAAATGAGATGCAAATAAATCCACACACAACACTTGAAGCATGTTGTTGTTTGCTTAATTGTTGATGATGTATGCAATACCAACAATGAAAATGTGAAATGTAATCAGGCTATTATTTATATAGATCATATATTCTTATTAATAATTTTTTTGTGGTAATTTTCACTTTCGAACAAACAAATAAAGATGTTTATATAGTGTACAATGTCGAGCCATAACTTCCATTATTACATTACATTCATTTCTAGTTGCATGTTTATACATTTTGTAAATCGTACTGAAACTATACATCATTTAGTCTGATAATGACTTTGAGCAATCTTTCCGTGTATGCTATGTGGTTCGCTTTCTTTAACGTCACTGTGTTCTATAGAAAGCTATATTCACTCGGCTGATCAATAAGAAGAGCAAAACGCATGAAGTCATCGAGCACATCGACTTCCAGAGTTTTAGGGAGGAGATGTTTGACTACTGCCAGAGTCTCTTCAGCGACGTTCCCTTTCTCCTCAGGGTAGGTAACATGCAATTAGCACAATGCCACTAATGATTGAATGTCAAAAGATTACAAGATTTGTTTGACTAGTCTTTGAAAACATTCTCATGAGTACAACAACAAATAATGAAATGTCTTTAGTCAATACAATTCTATATATTTGTTGGTAAAGTCAATGTGTGTGTATAATGATGTTTATCAGGCTGCAACACGGATTATTGAAGAGAAAAGGCTCAGGGATCAAGTAGCGAAGGCAGCTGGGCCTGATGAGCAAGAAGCAGCAGGCCCGTCCTCTGCTCCACAAATATGCAGCGTCCATTTTACTCCAGGGTAAGCTCTCATTCACTCTGTGTTCATTTCAAACAAGCTCAACATTACTGGCAACTGTTCAGATGACAAATCCTCATCTCTCTGTCAAATAAGCCCACCTCTTAGAGAGCCACGCGTCACTAAATCATTTCTCTTCCAGTATTTGAAAGGATAACATACATTGAGATCCCCTAATTATTAGAAATACTTGCCTCATTTAATAATAATAATACATGGGATTTTTATAGCGCTTTTCCTGATGCTCAAAGAAAACAAGAACAACCGAAACAATACAAAGATGATAACCCATATAACCATATATTATTACTTTGCGTACCCGATCCAAGTTGTGTTTTGTTGTAATATGTTTAGCGTTCATTGCAGCTGTTGTGTGTAGAAGGACAGAATGATGTTTCCACTATAAAGAACCTTTCCCATAACAAGCTAATGTGCCCTTTTTATTCTAGATACCCTGTTAACTCTCTGTTTCTTGTCTCTGTTTCATTTAACAGTAAACATACAATACTCCAGAGGACCAGACTGGAGGCAGCCTTCAAGGCGTTGTCTACATGTTCAGATGACAAAACATTTGCTCAGCTGGCGGCAGAAGAGGAGGAAGAAGTGGAGGAAGAACACCAGGCAAGAAATGATCTTTCCCTGCGCCTCTCACCCTCTCCGGACCCGGAGCAGGACGTGATATTTCAGGGAGATTCGGGCAGCCCCATGGAGGCTTCCCCAACAGACCAAACAGATGTTGTTCCTAAAGCACAGGCAGAATGGCTCTCAAAGACATCCTCAGTGCCGAGAAAACAAGCGTCTTTGGACTGTGGCACGACTGGTGGTGGAGCCGGACAGCCAGGGCAGCCAGAGCAGCTCACCGGCTTCACAGGAAGTGGAGGAGACAGAAGTCAGAACAGAGGAGCCTCCACAGCCCCCGGCTGCACCCGATAAATCAGCAGAGCTGAGCGTGGTAACGGTTGATGAGGATAGCCTGCCTGTGCGGAAGCGACGCAGACGAGAAAGCAACATCTGCAGCAGGTATGTAAATCATATTTATATATTCGTTTTTAGAAGTGATTTGTTTAAAAGGAAATCACAGAATCTTTATGTCTCATTTTCAAGTCGAGTCAAGGTGGGGCTTAATCAAATGTGAAACCGCAGCAGATATTTATTGCAATGGTTTTACATTTATTGCTTTTTGAGAAATATGTGTAAACATGTCCATAATAAATAGTTGCTCAAATAGTTGTCGTACTGTGCTCAGTGTGTGTACCTTTTAAATGTCAGTGAGAACACGTGTTGTTTAAAACGGTCAAGGACATTGCAAAGTTATAGAATATGATAGACAATGCAAAGCATGATTGAAACTAGGGCTGTGCGATTATGGCAAAAATCATAATCACGATTATTTGGGTCAATAATTGATATCACGATTATTTTGACGATTATTCATTGACCATTTATTGAACTTTAAAACAAATAATATTTTACCAATAAACAAGAACAAATATGTTGGAGCGCACTTCCAAAACCATACTAAACATATATTAATATGATAAATAAAAATAAATTGGACCAAAATAAATGAAATCAAATATGTTGCAGTGCACTGTCACAACCTACTGAAAACTCCTTAACATATAGCCAACATTTTGGTAAAACATATTCAACATATTCCACTCAGTTAAACGTTGAAGGCTGGCCAACCGTCATGGTCCAGAAGTAACAGGAAATAAATGTTGAACTACAATTTAAGACCAAATAAAAATGTTTTGGCCACCATGGCAAATGCTGGTAGGGCTGCTCATGTCATCTCTTAAAGATGTTTTGCAAGAAACAACAGCCTGTTTACATGGTCTGGTTTCAGAGATGAGCGCAGGCAGGTGACAATATTGCCACCTGTACTGAAGACCCTCAGCCACGCCCCGACACATGGGGTGACGCCGGCCAATCACAAAGCTTTGATGCGTTCAAGTGCATTATTCTGGCACAGGAAGATTATGTTACAGGACATTAACGATAAAACAGAATATTGTTGTTCTATTTTTAGACACATCTCGCGATCGACTGGTTGGGCACCCCTGGGCTAGACCATAGGTCTGTTGTGGTAGCAAAGTAGTCAGCTGAAGCCACATCTCTCAACTTCCCCACGGCATTTGTCATATAGTGCAGGCAGCGCAGACCTGCTGAAATAATACCGAGACGGCATCGCGTAACGCTTGTCCAACGTGTTGACAAGTTGCTTAAAGCCCTGGTTGCTAACAGTGCTAACTGGGCACATATCTTTAGCGATGTGAAATGTAATGGCAAAGTACTTGCAAATAGTGGAAATAGTTGTACCCTTCTTTTTAACGAGTTGCTGCTCTTGTTCTGACATCTTCGCTCGCGCTGAACACTCACAACACATGTCACTCCCACGTGGCCGAGTGGGCTTTTAGGGAGGGGCGAAAGCGCACCCAGCAAAATAATCGTATTTTGTCAATTATGCTGTTTTCATAATCGTCGCAAGCCATAATCGTAATCGCGATTAAAATACGATTAATTGCACAGCCCTAATTGAAAGTCCCTCTTTTTCTAGATATTTCTTGACTGAGTCTGAACTCTCATCATGCAGAAAGTCAGAACCGTTATCATCAGACAGTAATGAGGAACCACAGGAGTCGCCCGCTCCCTGCAAAGCCCCAGTGCGGAAACCTCTAACAAAAGAGGCCAGAATTCTTCTCCGCAGGCAAGTTGAAATGTGCTCATTTGTCATTATTTGAAGTCACTTAATTGATTTGTCTCAATGGATGACATTTGATTAACTTTCAAGTAACTATGCAGGGTTCCAGATGAAGTCCATATCCGAGATTCTTCATTGGACAGCTCACCAGAACTGTACCCTACTCACCCTGTCCCTCAGAAAAGCTCTACTCCTAACAAGGACTCTGCTCGGGAAAAAGGTCCTGCACACTCAAAATGGTAAGTAAATAGTACAGCAGAGGCTCTACCTATGAATAGATTCACTCACCTGTTGTGAATACATTCTGGCAATACATGCTACCGCACATTTATAAGTGAAACGTGTTTGTTTTCTTAAGGTGTGGCCATTATGTTTTTCCGAGCTGTTAATAAATTACCCGAGGTAAGAAACTGTGCTCTTGTTTACAGGAAAGTGCTGTACACTAACGCAAAGGAGAGTAGGGATACATGGAGCGATGAAGAGACATATTTCAGCGCCAAAAATAATACAGGTAACATTTGAGCAAATATCCGGCAGTGGCACAGTCAGTGGGGGCTTGGACTGTGAGCCGTAGGGTCGCCGGTTCAAGCCCCCGAACAGACATAAAATATGGAGTGTGGACTGCTACTTGGAGAGGTCCCAGTTCACCTCATGGGCCCTGCCGTGGTGCCCTTGAGCAAGGCACCGGACAACCCCCTCCCCCCCCACTGCTCCTACTACTAGGATGGGTTAAATGCAGAGGCCAAATTTCACTGTGTGTGCTCTGCATGTGTGACCATTAAAGAGGGGTTTCGACTTAAACCTGTGTAAATTGTGAAATCCTGTTCATGCAGTAATTTGTTTTTGCTTCCCCCTAAAGGATCGAAGAATCAAAGCGTAAATCAGGCACCTCCAGGCCACGCAAAGATGGTGAGCGTAACAATACACGGTCAGGTCATAAAAGCACCAAGGCAAGCACAATGGATTGCATTATCATTTGAAAAAGAAAACAAAGCTGAGTAACTGTGTTCCTGTTGTGTTGCAGAAGTGGAATGAAGAGGAGACGCAAATGTTAATAGATGGGGTCAAAAGATTTGGAGAAGGCAACTGGAGTAAGATAAAATCGCATTTCTCCTTCAAAGAAAGGTCAAATGTCAGCCTGAAGGACCGATGGAGAACAATGAAGAACTCAAAAATAGTTTGAGTATGTAATCCTGTCTCCAGAATGGAATCATGTTTAAAGATACGGTTATAGAATTCATAGTTCAATAAATGTTTAGATTTTAATTTTAAGATTGGTTTTTGTAGTAAAAAAAATAAAACTGCAATGGTGATTGATACGCATTTTCACTGCAGGCTTCTATACAGTCGCACGCTCAACAAGACAAATGAATACAAATATGGATTTATTTGAAAGAGGACATTTACAAAAGAAACAAATATTCTCTCTTGATCAGGAGCCTCTATGACTAGCTAATTCTGTGGATAGCAGGTTTTCATGTCAGTCCGTAGGCTGCGTTTGAAATATGGAGGAGTTGAGATATCGGCTATTAAAGTGCCATTGAACCAGGCCTTAATATCCAACCACTCAGTTAAGAAAACATATTCTTGGGGAGAATATTAGTAGAGGTGACTGCGTGTAAAATGACAAAGAAAAAGGGCATTCGACAGTTCAGCTGTTGCTTCTTTATGTTAACGTGTCTTCATTCCTGATGAACTCTCCTACGTCGGCCTGGTGGAACACTACGATGGACATGGGATCCACTCGCCGACACTCCTGGGTAGTTTTGGCTGCCACTCCAAAACCCTGAGAAATAAAGACGCATTACTGGTTAGGAAATCCTCTCTTTGAACAATGGCAAAGTCTGTCGTATGATGCCAAGTTGAGCTGCTCTAGCTAATATGTATTCTGAACATTTAGTATGTGTGGTAATATAAGATTCAGGAGTGAGGTGTTGAGGGGAAGACATTAAACTGATGGCAGCACCTTTGATATTGCAGTGGTTTGAAATGTGAATTTTCAGCACAAGTGGCCCCAGCTATAAGCCCTCAATACTGTAAATGGCTTTCTGTGAGAATCACTAAATGACCTCATCCTATATCAATTGTATTTTTTCTAATCAACCAAGAATACAGGTGACACATGTATGCACAAGGACCAGATGCACGGGGTTAAGTGTTCATTCATTTGTGAAAGAAGTGATGATGTACAGCGATGTTATCGTGTGGGCACTTGGTTGTGCCTTAGCATTCTAGCAAGAGCACAACTCAGAGAAATATAGTGGGTAGGTCAATCTTATCGATTCCAATATATATGTCAACTTTGAGGGTTCTTGTTTCCTGAATGATTGGTCATTCTGGTTAATCAAACTCTGTTCTAAAAGTGTTCAAATTGAAAAAAGAGGTTAGGTCCAAAAGATATTGATTTCTGACAGAACACCCGTGAGCATCACAGTAACACATCTTACCAGGGGCACATCCGTCATGGAGTAGACCACGACTCCCTGGTACTGCATCGTGTTCTCTGTGATTCTGCCAAGCCCGGATTTCAGCACATGGTTCCCGTAGAGGAAAGACTGCTCCTGTCCAGGTTTCACCCATACCTTGAACTTAAAAAGACATGACAAGAAGCTTCAAGTTATATATTCAATTCTTTAGAAAAAGATATGCAGGCACACAATACATTTCCAAACTAAATTAGAGATTATCAAACAGTATTAAATAACAAACTTGTTAGATTAACCTGCATGTACCACTCTACTACGAATTTAACAGCAAGTGAAGTCCTATATTTGTGTGACACAGGACAGAGGTATGTTTTAGAAAAGTTCAGTATGACAGTAGCTGGTGTGACATGGTGTTTACAAGTGTCAAATGAGAGTAAGTATGAGAACTGCAGCTGGACCATCAGGTTGGCCTCAGTTAATCCACTGCTCTTCCTGTAAATGTATTTGACATTTATGCAAATTGATGCACTACTGAAAAGGATGCACCACTTCACTAAACATTTGCATGGCTTTAATTTCTCCTTACTGCATCTCTTAATCCACAAGGTTTTATGAGAGAGGAGGAAATGCAAACGATGTAGGGCAAGATACAAATAAGAAAAATGGAAACCCATTCACCTTTGCATAGGGCGCCAGGAAATCCAGAGCTGTGATGTGCAGGCGGAATTTAATGGACTTTGTGAACTTTCCAAAACATGTTCCCACTGAAACGAGCTTATCCCGGGAAATGTTTGTGGCCAACTTAAGAATTTTTTCACTGTGGACAAAACACGAGGGTATATGAATTTCAGAATGACTTCAGGATATATAGCAGAACATGAAACGTAATATATCGTAGATTACCTCATATAGTACACACGCTCATTGTGTAGTCTGAAACAGTAGGAACCGTCAGGTCGGTCAACTAGAAGTTTAATGTTGTCTCCGATGCTGTCGTGGGAGAAAAGACATGGCTTACTACAAAACACACGCAGGCTAACACGGATGCTACCATTTTTAGTATAATAGGAGTTCTAATAAGCAGGTAAAACCGCCCTCTTGGTCAACTTACTATTTTGACAGCTTCTCAAACATTACTTTCGTCTCTTCTTCTGTAAGTGGCCTCATAGTGAATATTTTAAAGCAACCTTTATCCACGAATACTTGTATCTTCTGTGAGAAAAACGTGGGTAAGCACGGAAGTCGTCAGTCGTTACACCGGAAGTTGGTTGACGTCATCAGGGAGGTAGTTCCTGGTTGTTTTTTTCTTTAGCTTTCAGTCGATCGTTCGCTTTTACTCCTGCAAACCGGTTGCCATCTGGTAAGTTTATTCACATACAATCATAAAAACTGTTATTTACGCTATAATTTTACAGCTGGAAAACCGCTACTTGAACACTAATTGGTTTTACATTTCGTTTTTGTTAAACATTGAAGTCACACCTTCGAAATCGGGCTCGGTTAGCCTGGTTAGCTAGCTGTCAGTGGAAAAAAAACACGGACCTGCTGCTATTGGTGAGCTAACTGTGTTAGCAGCTGACAATGCTAACGCTGGTTCGCTTCGGGAAACGAACCTGTTCCACTTAAGCGTTTCACATTCAAATCCATTCTCAATGGGATGTCACAAGTCTCTTTATTGAGTCTCGCCCGGTCGTGATTTTTCTTCGGACCCGCGGTTTGAAGAGGAGAGTCTGCCGCAGCGGTGCAAGTTACATAACGTTAATTTGTTTTAAATGTACGATGTACGTGTTAGTGATCCAAAACACAGGCTTATAAACTCACCAGTCAACCTGATACAATAATGTATCTGCAATAGACAGTAACAGCGCAATGTCAGCAATGTGTAATGTCAGCCAGAGTTGGCTACAAACAAGGAAATCTACTTTGTCAGCGAGCTCTTTGCACTTGGCGGATAATTTGAGCCTCCTCTCTGACAGCAAATATATCCGATATAAATCCCTGATCGTGTTTTTCAGATGCTGCCAAGTAAAGTTATAGCAGGCTAAACGATTGTTTCCACTAAGAGGACACTTCTCGAAGTATCTGATACTGCTTCAGTTCAGTCATACATAAACCAATTGAAATTGTTCATTTCTAAAGAACTAAAATGTGAGACAGCCTTAAAGTACAGCTGCCAAGATTCATGGATTAGTTGTCAGCTATATATTTTGTAATTTTTTTTTAAAGAAACAAAGTCTGGATTCTCAGATTGTAGCTTTTGAAATGTTCAGATGTTTGGTTCTCTGTCAGTAAGGAGTTGTGGACTAAAGAAGACTTGAGGATGTCATCTTGGGCTTTGGGAAACACTGATTAACATTTATGACAGACATCAAATGGAAAGAAAATGAATAAATAATAGACGGATTAATCAACAATGAAAATAATGCAGTTTCAGCCTTACATTAAACTTAATTGACCTTTAGTTGTCTACGGTGAACCTAGGATGCAACTGTTTCTCTGTGATGTGTAATACCAACATAACTTTGTTGGTATTAACAACATATGCAATTTCAGTCATTTGATGCCCAAGATTTTATTTTCTTCATTTTATTTGATGCCCTATTAATGGAAACAGCCTCTGTATTATTTCCTCTCCAGGGAAATATTAATTAAAATGAATGCTGTATCAAAGCTACAGTGCTGTCGACGTCATGATGACAACTACATTAAGGGCTGATCAGAGGCTATGAAAGCACAAGGTTATATGCAAACACTTTATTGTTTACGCAAGACTACAAACGCAAAGAAAGGTTAAACATTGATCACTTCAATCCGTGTTCAAAGTAGGTGTCGGCTCGGCATCCCACATGGAAACGTACAGAAAACATTGACCCAATTTCTTCTATTTAAAGTAAATGATGTTTCATGTTGTACAACCTATTGCACCATGTGAGAGTCCGAATACATGCAATTTATATATAGTAAATGTTTGTAAAGTTAAATGCAAATATGAAATAAAGCATATTTCTCTAAAAGAGCGACCTGCTTTTAGATTTGACCTGATTATCTGTGTTTCCCCCAGCAGAGAGAGCCCCTCTAATCGCACGTCAGGCCTCAAAATGTACAACTAAATCAACCTGATTACCAGTTTCCCTTCTTGTTATTGTTATCAGGTGGTTTACCACAACTTTAACTTGGAACATTAGACCTGTATCCAACACCAAAGTAGCTTTCACAAATCACTAACTGCTAAGAGAAACAAAGAAGTCACATTATGTATAACCGTGAAAATAATGACAAATATGTCTTAGAAGCTCAGCATTCAATGAGAAAATAACAGATGTGTTCTTTCCTAAACAGGAGCGTGCTGCCCTTTGTTGGGAGAATATTTCTCGTGCCAACGGTTTGCTCCAGAGAAGCCAGTGGTCTGTCTGTCTGTCATCAGTTTCCGGCGTGTGTCTGCCTCTGGTAGCACTGAACAGGAAGACAGGCGCACAGAGACGTCTGAGCAGAGAGAGGAAACTGCTGCGGCTTCTTCGTCGGCCTCAGAATGACTGAGTTCTGGGTTTGCTTCAGCTGCTGCATTGCAGAGCAGCCACAGCCTGTGAGTACGAATGTGGAACTTGGAAGACACATTGATTTACTCAATCTTTAATGTAGAGGCATTGCTGACCTTGTGGAAAACGTCTATGAAATGCTGTTTCAAAGTAATATAGGTGAATACATAGCAGTATATGGTGTTTTCAGTGCACTGGCCATTATGGTTTCCATTTGAGAAGTAAATACTCCCCATACCGAGATCAAGTTCCTTAAAATGTGTGGTTGGGTCATGCCTGAAATATATATGACATCGTCTTTTAAAAGAGATTTGGGCCTCCCGCTCACCACATCCTGCTTTCTGATGTGAGCATGACAAATTAAATAAGCTTTGCCAAAGTGACAGCCACTCGTTGTGCCTCACTGTAGTCTGCCGGTGTGTTTGCTAACAGATACGGTAACAGGCATCATGATTGTCTCCTTTAGGCTCCGCAGCACAGGTATTAACCTGCTTATGAATACAAATGTGTACAGGAGAGGAATGAGCACACTCTTTCTTTAGGCCTCTTCTCAATCCTCACTGAAAAGTAATATAGCCTTGAATGTATGAAATGGGGGTAAGACTTAGAGCTCCCTGCCAGTCAGTGGTCTATATAGTTTGACTATACCTGAAACTTGACAAAGTGGTAGTTTAAAAAAGTACCAGGCATGCACCATCCACAGCTTTTTCAAATGGAAATGAAAAAAAGAGTCTCGCCATAACATGCAGTGGAAACATGTCCTTTTTTACTAGGTTTACCGATATCGATCGTGAGAGCCGATCACATGAGGTCAAATACATGACACTTTTCTCTGTGCGCAGCAAAACAAGCTCGCCAACATGGCTTCACCGGTCTGGCAGTATTTTAAGGTGTCCGAAAAAGACAATAAAATAGCGGTATCAGCGGTAAGCAACGTGTGTGAAGCAGAAATCCTGCTGTGACGGACCGCTGAGAGGAGCAACACACACTTCAAGTTAGACCTAACACACTTAGCTATTTTATCTACCTCTGGAACACGCTAAACTAGTTATAAATGTATGTATTCTTCACTGTTTGGTTACGCATTACTGGATCAGTGGGCTGCATGAGACGATA